ATGTTTTCTTCCTTGTGACTTGGATACCAATTCATTTTATCAGCTTCATTGACATCTACCTACACATGATGAAAGCATGATCGTAGTTATTTTTGTCTTTTAATTAGTGTAGACTTTTTTCTTTGAAAATTATTGCAATATTGGCTCACAAATCATTGGCATCTTGTGATAGGCCTAGAAATTGTGTAGTACTAGTAAACAGGATCTATAGGTTAACCAATGTCTATTACAAACCGAAACTTACTAAGAAAAATAATACACAAAACATCAACAGGTATATGTATTCTGATTAATTCTGAAATTTGATTGAAAATTAATGAAGGTTGTCTACAGAATACATTAGAGTGGAAAACATATCTGCTTTTTTTCCTTTCGTCCTTGATTCATATCTTGAACTTGTGAGAGGAGGAATGAAGAAAATGAAACCAGAAGTATGTTGAACACAGTAAAACATATGTATAGAAAGCTCTAGTCATACATTTCTAACTGGTGTTATTGGTGTCTTCTCTACTGTTTTTATGTGGATTATTTTAGTGTTTAGTTTTAACGCTTGAAATATAAGCAGGATTTTACCAGAGTTCATAATTTTCTATTTACTCCAATTGTACTATAAACAAATGTCCATCAATATACAGTTTATAATTTGAAGAGTATTTTTAAAAATATGCATATACATGAATTTGAGAGTGCTACAGATTGATAGTTTGTATGTTACCTATGTATGTGGATGAACAAACAGTATGGATATTATGCAAGTGAAAGTAAGCATATTGATTTATCTACACTGTATAAAATATACATGTATGTAAACAGATACCTACCAACAGACTATATACAGTAAATTATGCAGTGCAAGTTGTAACGTTTAACATCGTACGGGATCGATAAAATATGCCGGATTAGACAGCATGTCTGAATACTCAATGCCAGAAGTATTATACCGGAAGTACTGGATGTAGAGTATCGGAATCTGCCGAGGTTTGCTGAGTGTCTATTTGACGTGAGAAACTCAAATCAAATACCAAGCACTCTCTTACAGAGAGAGAGAGAAATGGGGTGTAACATCCACTCCACACAAACAAGGTCATTTTGGGACTAACACATTCAATTTTATTTCAATAATTTGTTTGCACGTAAGGGTGGGAGGAAACAGGCGACCCTACTCCTTGTCACGTACAACAGGGGAATTGAAATCACGCCAGTTGACTCAATGACAGACCTTATGATACAGCGCCCACGTGCTGATAGGACAACTGTTTGAAGGCAGGATTATCCAATGTTAATTCAATGCAAATTGTGTGACGGGACCGCTGATGTCGTAATTCAGAATATTCAGAATCCGGACTACTCAAAAGTAATAAGGGAATAAATTGGGACATGAAAATGATGACGGATTTCACAGAATGCCGTAGTATAATTCACTATTCAGATGTCGGATGTGACAGCGTCCACTGTACTCACAGTATGATAATCATGGTCTCTGTATGTTCTACACATTGTCATGGAAATTATTTATTTTATGAATGATTGATGGTTCTGTGCAGTGTGTATTTGTGGATTTAACACCTATAGATTTACATGTATTTTCTATAACTATTAAAACAGAATCTTTTTTTTTTTGACAACTACTCTTGGATGCATGCATGCATTGTATTTTTATACGCCCACATTGAAATGTGGTCGTATATTGTTGTCGCTCCCATCCGTCCGGCAGTTGGTCCGGTGTCCACACTCTATAGGCTAAAGTTAATATCCGATTGACATTAAATTTATACACAGTGTTTAAGGTCATGAGACGAACAAGCCTATTAATTTTCAGCGATTTTCGATAATTACTGCCAGAGTTTTGACCCTTGATCACTTCAAAAAATCTTGTGGATGCTCTAGAGGTCAAAGTTAATATCCGATTGACTTTAAATTTATACACAGTGTTTAAGGTCATGAGACGAAGAAGCCTATTGATTTTCAGCGATTTTCGAAAATTACTGCCAGAGTTATGGCCCTTGATCACTTCAAAAAATCTTGTGGATGCTCTAGAGGTCAAAGTTAATATCCGATTGACTTTAACTTGATACACAATGTTTAAGGTCATGAGACGAAGAATCCTATTGATTTTCAGCAATTTCTGATAATTACTGTCCGAGTTATGACCCTTGATCACTTTGAAAAATCTTGTGGACGCTCTAGAGGCTAAAGTTAATATCCGATTGACTTTAAATTTATTCACAGTGTTTAAGGTCATGAGACGAAGAAGCCTATTGATTTCCGATAATTACTGCCAGAGTTATGGCCCTTGATCACTTCAAAAAATCTTGTGGATACTCTAGAGGCTAAAGTTAATATCCGATTGACTTTAAATTTATACACAGTGTTTAAAGACCATGTAAGATCAAAAATCTAAATTGCATGTATGTATAGCCCATGGTTACTATATCAACTTTACGGCAAGTTTACACCAATCTGATTAAAATTAAGTCCGCTGTTAACGTTTAAGTACATTACGACCTTAATCCGGTTGATTGGCTGGTGACGTCACAGGCACTACACATAGTATATACATTATCTATACAATATCTCACGGTCTGTACAATATAGCACTATCAATACACACGGCAACTGGACAAATGTCTATTAAAGGTCCAATTACCACGTGACTGGCCTAATCATAATCACCGAATTATCGTCTTTCATGTGTATAGATTAGACATTTGTGATTGGAATATTTTAGAGTGAATTTAAAATGCTGTATCATGCCGTAGATCAATTTACGCTGCCTTTGTTTAAATAGGCCACGTGTCAAATGAAGATGACTCAAGAAATTAGCGCATTTACCAGTAATTTAAATAACCCCGTAATACTTGATATCCCAAACTTAAGTACAGAAATATAAATGGTGCCAGTCATTTGTTGATATATTCATTATTAGATAATAATAATAACCATTTCTATACATAAAGAACAACTACAGTGAATATGGAATTTTCCGATGACTATGCATAACATGTACAATAGATCGCACTCATTTCTCTGCCAATCAACGCTTGGTATCTTATTATCATGTACCGTTCCATGTACTACGGGTGTAGTAAATGAGGTTAAACTTCGCGAAAATTGCACGGGATCATTCGTGGAGTTCCTGGTGCCGTTTGGTGAGTGATTAAACTGTCAATGCTGTTGCTGTTGTTGTTTATTACATATTTAACGTACAATACATAATGCATGATATTATGGACAGGTTGATTTAATTAAGTTATTTACTTAAATAAAAAATAGAAGTTAGGTAAAAACACTAAATAATAAAAAGTTCTTGTATATCTAAACGTCACTTTAAAACAGATTTAAAATAATTAAAAGTTCTTGTATATCTAAAAATTACTTTAAAACACGGTTTTAAAAATGGTTTTAAAATCGTTGTCGTGGGAAGAGAGGACGGGTCATCTTCTCACTTTGTCATAATGAAAGTTAAAATAGGAGATGCAATTGTAAAATACTTTTATTATAAAGAAGATAACCGATGTTAGACATTATAATCTAATCGTATCAAAAACGTTAATCCATCCATCAATTAAATGTTTAAACGCCAGTCAACAAATAATACGAGGCTACTTGATTACAAAAACACCGGTGAGCAATAATTATTGGGTATATAGTTATTTTAAAAAAACTTACTAGTAAAACTTAATTATTTTATACAATTAATGTGTGTGTCTATGATTCTACCATTGCATTAGTTCATACGGGTGTAGTAAATGAGGTTAAACTTCGCCGCGAAAATTGCACGGGATCATTCGTGGAGTTCCTGGTGCCGTTTGGTGAGTGATTAAACTGTCAATTCTTAATCCCACTAACACTCACTGCAGCTCACTGCTAACACCAACTTGAAATTAATTTATGACCCATGCCTGTATAACTTTTATAGTCGGATTGATTAATTAATGACAGATAGTAACAACACTACACTTTATGTGGAAAAGCGAAGTGCTCGCAGTAAAAACCACATAGCTGGACCCGTATATTATTTACATATTAAAAGTGTTCGTCCAATAAGTTACATATTGTAAAAAATTAATCAAGACTTCAAAGTTTAAAAGTTGTAGGCACTCTATATTGGATCTTCAATTAAAATGAATTACAAAACAAATTATTCCTTTAATTAGGTTGATTAAGGAATCCTTCAGGCGTTAAAGAATACACACGCCGGCTGTATATAGGTAATTAAGGAATAAACATTCCGAATATGCATTCGGTCACTGTGACGTCGCTGGCGTCTGAGGGGATTAAGAGTGTTTTCAATAATTGGCAAAGCCATTTTTACGGAAGGTCTATTTTTACGACTTTGAGTGAAGATAACTGAATTAATTTCAACCAGATTGGCGTGAACTCGCCGTAAAGTGGATATAGTAACCATTGGCTACACGTATCTCAAAGTTTCCCGGACCATCTTATGTTACTTATGTACACTTTAAGGTCACAAGACGATGAAGCTTATTGATTTTCAATGAATCTTTATGACTTGAACAGCTAAATCCAAATGTTAAAAGTTTCCTATACTAAATGTTTTCTAATTGTTTTCTGATAATTACTTAATTAGTTTTTACTCTTAATCAGATTTTAATGTATTATAAATGTTTCATTACCGAAAAAAGTAAAAATATGCGACAACTCTTGTTGACTGCCCGGACGATATAGCTGCTGTGGGAGTACATGTATGTTTCGTTGCCTGGCAACCTATCTTTATATACATTGTATGTATTGTGGTGTCTTATACAAAGTACATTAAACTCTAAACCATATAATGCTGTACATATACTGAGTCTCCTACCTGTTTGTACCAATGTGTTATTTTTAAACATATGAAATATGACACATACACTCATTTGGCCATTTAATGCAGGATTTTGGTACTGAAGTACAAATGTGAACCTTCCTAAATATACGCATGTATATTGTTCATATCCACTGATATATTTACGTTACCAATATATTTTCTGTATTTTCAGGGCTCACTGCTAAATACTGATGCAAGCTGTTTCTTCTAACATCAGTACCCAATTTAGTTCATTCAGTAATTATAAGAAGATTAAACTTGAGAGCTTGCCAACACAGCATCATGTAGTATATGATTCCAATCCCTTGCTTAGCTCAACACAACAAACTTATGTTTTACCACAAAATGTTAATGATTTTTCTGATTTTAAAGCATTGGAGGCCATGCCCCAGTCACTCCTTTCTTCCTCTTCCATTAAAACACAAGACTCTTACCCACGATATGGTGTAAAACGCAAAAGTGATGCCATAGATCCACCCATGCAGCTTACCGACGCCCACGTAATAACAAGTGAGGATGATAGAAGTGCAGCCAATACGACGACCATTGCCACAACAACAGCTACAAATGCGACGAACACAACATCAAAAACAAGTTCGTCAAGTAGTGAGGGGGATTATCAGCTAGTGCAACATGAAAATTTATATTCCATGACCTCCAACTATGAGGTATTAGAATTTCTAGGTCGTGGAACATTTGGTCAGGTCGTAAAGTGCTGGAAGAAAGGAACCAATGAAATCGTTGCTATTAAAATTCTTAAAAATCATCCCTCGTATGCAAGACAGGGACAAATAGAAGTTGGAATACTCTCGCGATTAAGTCAAGAAAATGCAGATGATTATAACTTTGTGCGCGCTTACGAGTGTTTCCAGCACAAGAACCATACATGTTTGGTGTTTGAGATGCTGGAACAGAACTTGTATGATTTTCTCAAACAGAATAAATTTCAGCCACTTCCGTTGAAATATATCCGTCCTGTCACACAGCAGGTCCTGACAGCGTTGCTCAAATTAAAGAGCCTAGGATTGATACATGCTGATCTTAAACCAGAGAATATAATGTTAGTGGATCCAGTGCGCTTTCCGTATCGTGTTAAAGTGATAGATTTTGGATCTGCTAGTCATGTATCGAAGGCTGTATGTTCTACCTATTTACAGTCAAGATATTATAGGTAAGTCAGATCTTAAACATTTTTCCATACATGGTGGTTTCTTGGGCAACTTCTTGAGACATGGCTTGCAATTGTTCAAACACTAATCCTTGTAGTTTTTATACGCCCACATTTTCATGTGGGCGTATATTGTCGTCGCCCCTGTCCGTCCGGACGTCCACGATTTGTTTGTGGACACTACAGGTCACAATTCTTATCCGATTTTGACTAAACTTGAAATATAGGTTTATCTCCAAAAGATCTTGGCTGCTTTCGATATTGGCATGTATCGGATCAAAACTTCATGGATTATGGCCCCTGTTTGTACGAAAAATCACGTTTTTAGGATGTGGACACTATAGAGGTCACAATTTTAATCCAATTTTGTTGAAACTTGAAATGTAAGTTTATAACCCAAAGATCTTGGTTGCTTTCGATATTCGCGTATATCAGACCGTAACTTCCTGAATTATGGCCCCTGATTGTATGAAAAATCGCGTTTTTAGCTTGTGGACCCTATAGAGGCAATAATTTTTATCCGATTTAAAAAAACCTATTATAATATCATCGTTACACCCTAAGGACGGCTGAGTTCGAATTTCGTGAAAATTGACTCAAAACTGACAGACAAAATGGCCGTCCTTCGTTCTCAAATAGCGTAAAAATATGGTATATCAAGGTTGTGGACCCGATAGAGGTCACAATTTTAATCTGATTTTGTTGAAACTCGAAAAGTAAGTTTATAACCCAAAGATCTCGGTTCCTTTCGATATTCGTGCATATCGGACCGAAGCTTCCTGAATTATGGCCCCTGATTGTACAAAATATCGCGTTTTTAGCTTGTGGACCTTATAGAGGTCATAATTTTTATACGCCCACGTTGAAATGTGGTCGTATATTGTTGTCGCCCCCGTCCGTCCGTCCGGCGTCCACAATTGCTTGTGGACGCTCTATAGTCTAAAGTTGATATCCGATTGACTTAAAATTTATACACATTCTGGACGCCGGACCGACGGACGGGGGCGACGACAATATACGACCACATTTAAATGTGGGCGTATAAAAAACCTTATAATTAAATCACCGTTACACCCTAAGGATGGCTGAGTTCGAATTTCATGTAAATCGGCCCAAAATTGACAGACAAAATGACCGCCGTTCGTTCTCAAACAGCGTAAAAATATGGTATATCAAGGTTGTGGACCCTATAGAGGTCACAATTTTAATTCGATTTTGATGAAACTTGAAATGCATGTTTATAACCTAAAGATCATGGTTCCTTTCGATATTTGTGAATATCGGATAGTAACTTCCTGAATTAATATATGGCCCCTGATTGTACGTAAAATCACCTTTTATGGTAAATAAAGGTTGTGGACCCTGTATAGGTCACAATTTTAACTTGATTTTGATGAAACTTGAAAAGCATGTTTATAAGCTAAAGATCATGGTTCCTTTCGATATTTGCGCATATCGGATAGTAACTTCCTGAATTATGGCCCCTGATTGTACGCAAAATCGCCCTTTTTAGCTTGTGTTCCCTCTGGGTGTCCCAATTATTATCCGATTAAAAAAAACCGTTTGATTATATCACCGTTACACCGTAATTAAGGTTGAGTTCGAATTTCCTGAAAATCGGACCAAAATTGCCGGACAAAATGGCCGACTCTTGTACGTGAATAGTGTAAAAATATGGTATATCAAGGTTGTGGACCCTGTAGAGCAGAGGTCGCAATTTTAATTTGATTTTGATGAAACTGAAAATGCATGTTTATAACCTAAAGATCTTGGTTCCTTTCGATATTTTCGCATATCGGATTGTAACTTCATGAATTATGGCCCCAGATTATACGAAAAATCGCCTTTTTTAGCTTGTGGTCCCTCCGAAGGTCACAGTTATTATCTGATTTTAAAAATCTTTTGAATATATCACCGTAACACCATAATAAAGGTTGAGTTCAAATTTCCTGAAAATCAAACCAAAACTGCCGGACAAAATGGCCACCACTTGTACGCGAAAGGTGTAAAAATATGGTATATCTAGGTTGTGGACCCTGTAGAGGTCACAATTTTAATCCGATTTTGATGAAACTCGAAATGCATGTTTATAATCCAAAGATCTTGGTTCCTTTCGATATTTGCGCATATCAAATTGTAACTTCATGAATTATGGCCCTTGATTGTCGGAAAAATCACTTTCTTTTTAGCTTGTTCTCTATCCACCTCTCGAAAATGTGGGCGTATCCTGCCTGGCAGCCGCTGGTTATCTGATTTTAAAAAATGTATTATTACATCACCGTTACACCCTAAGGATGGCTGAGTTTGAATTTCATGTAAATCGGCCCAAAACTTACAGACAAAATGGCCGCTGTTCGTTCTCAAATAGCGTAAAAATATGGTATATCAAGGTTGTGGACCCTATAGAGGTCACAATTTTTATCCGATTTTGTTGAAACTTGAAATGTAAGTTTATAACACAAAGATCTCGGTTCCTTTCGATATTTGCGCATATCGAATTGTAATTTCCTGAATTATGGCCCTTGATTGTAGGAAAAATCACTTTCTTTTTAGCTTGTTCTCTATCCATCTCTCGAAAATGTGGGCGTATCCTGCCTGGCAGCCGTTGGTTTAGCTTGTGGTCCCTCTGTAGGTCACAATTATTATCCAATTTAAAAAAAACGTTTGATTATATCACCGTTAAACCGTAATGAAGGTTGAGTTCGAATTTCTGTTTTTATACGACCACATTTCAATTATACACAGTGTTTAAGGTCATGAGACAAAGAAGCCTGTTGATTTTCAGCGATTTCCGATAATTACTGCCAGAGTTATGGCCCTTGATCACTTCAAAAAATCTTGTGGATTGTCTAGAGGCTAAAGTTAATATCCGACTTTCTTTAGTGACCACAAGGTTTGCACACTCATTGGAATTCCTGGAAAAAAGAAAATGTAATTTCCAGTACTGGAAACGGGAAGATCCTGGAAAAACAAGATTACTGCTTGAGACTCCTGGAAAAATAACATTTGTGGTTTCGCTATATACTTTAAAATATAAAACGAACATAGTCGTAGAATGTTTCTTCAAACGTTGACGAGTTTGTGGCCGTAAATAAATGAACTCGTCTTCGGTATTTCATTCCTAAAAGGGCATAGTAAATCTATAGTAAAATTTTAACCAATTAGAATATATCTAGGTCTATCCGCTTACCAATCAACTGTTCCCATATTATGATACCGACCCGTAGCTGCTTCAAATCCACACCAGTAGCCTAATATTCCTCCACGTGTTCGTTTCGCTAACCGTGAAGGAAGATAGACCAATAACCTGTATGTTAACCCATTTTTGACGACACCCATCATTTGGCGGTAGCCAATCAACTCATGGATCCATCATACCTGACAACGGCATTAGCGAACAAAAACGCCAGATCAATCAACTGATTTCTATTGTTTTTATTTCTTAAATTAATGGGGATTGAGTAATAAAAATAAAACGCCCAATGAAAAGGAATGTTATATTCGTTAATTATCGAATAAAAAACATACGTTTCAACAAAGGATCTTCCAGTATTTACGTAATAGTATAGGTGAAAATTCACACCGTGTCAGTTAGTGATAAAAATAAAACGCCCATTGAAAAGGAATGTTATATTCGTTAATTATCGAATAAAAAACATACGTTTCAACAAAGGATCTTCCGGTATTTACGTAATAGTATAGGTGAAAATTCACACCGTGTCAGTGACCTTGGCATTATTCCAATATTTTCTCGTCACTTACGGCTAATAATTTTATGATATGGAGAGTGAAATGGAATCAGATTTTTTATGATTTACTGCCAGGCATATAGAGGAATATATGTAGTCCATGTGGCAGACCTCGGATTTGGGAGTATCATTATCAATTTGATGAATAAATTCAACCATGATTTTCAGTTAGCCTAGTGCCTGAAGTGTTCAAATTTAGCAGATGGACTTCCGGGTCACTTTACTAAATGCCATTTTGGCGTCCATCTTTAAAAATGGCTGCCGTTTTTTCATTGCAATTGAGCGCGTCAAGGAAACCTTCATAACTCTTTCACAGATTGATATGGAATATGGCTCAAAATGTTCGCAATAACATTCTACAGCTGCTGTTATATGACACATGTTGGTGAATGAATCATATATTTTCCAAATCAACAGATTATTCTGAAAAAAAGCAACGTTTTGGCATTTTTTTTTCAAGATTTATTTTATAAGTTTACTACCAAATCATGTTCAGGGTAAATTTAGCCAAATTTTGTGTGTGGTCTTCTTAAGTTATTCATTTGGCATAAATAAATACGCTCAGTGACCCAGTCTGTACAGCTGCTGTGGTCAGAAACTCAACAAAAGTCTTGAGTAGACTGTCAATTTTAAAATGTTGAGCCTCGGCGAGGTAGGGTACTAACCATGTGATCGTTTATTTAGGGTTGTCGCAATCGAAACGATATTTGGGGACCGGTTGTTTCTGAAGAAAAATTTGTCACTTAAGACGATTTTGATATTATGTCACTTCTGTGACGTCATTTTCGGTTGAAGCTGTCCGATTTCCAAAATGACCGCCAAAATTTGAGGAAAAATGAATTTCTTGTTAGGATGGATGAATATCACGCAAAGCAAGACCTGTGATATATCATATATAGGGTTTCCGTAGTCATTGTACTTTGAATTGATCTATAAAATTAGTTTCCCAAAATCCAAGATGGCGAAAATTCAAAATGGCAGTCAAAATTTGCCTAAAATGATCGATGCCTCGGATAATCTTTATTTTACAGTTTGATATGCCTTGTAATATGCCGCTTAAGGGGTTTCGATGAAACAGAACTTAAATACAACCTCTAAAAAAAAGGGTTTCCAAAATCCAAGATGGCGGCAAGATTTTCACTAAAATTAATGATTTTTCAGATAATCGTCATTTTTATACGCCCTGTCCATCCGGACGTCCGTCCGTCCGTCCACAATTTGTTTGTGGACTCGTTACATGTCACAATTCTTGTC